GTCCCTTCCCAATCATCTGAGCTAATGTCTAAGAATCTAGTACAAATCAGAATGGGGAGAAGAGATCCATCCACTTATCCATTTCACAGCATACTATTGCTGCCTATCATATCAACATAACAGAGTTGTAGAGAAAAAGAAATATTGGCATTTATGGGAATTATGTAAATTCAAGTGCCAAAACAATTTCACAAATGCAAATTAGATAGTTAATATATCTAATTGCATATTCCTACATAAGCACTAGCTAGGAAAATACGGCACTTTATTTTTTTATTGACATTTAAAAATAAATAAAATAAGCTTATTGAAAAAAAGGAGGGAGCTGGAGAGTGAGGAACAAAATTAAGAATACTGTTAACAAATATAATATCTTAAGTGGAAGAAAAACTGCTATTAAAATCATGGCAATACTTTTAGGCTAAACTCTTCGAAGTTAATCCACCACTCCATTTTCAGACATTCTAACTGATTCAAGGTTAAACTCAAAGGATAATTCATAGTAAAATACTCCTGCATATTCTACCACTATATCCCATACACTTTCTAATCTAGACATCAAAACAGAGAAGAATGTATTAGGTAATTGCTAATGTATTTTAGGGCATGGGATATTAGATATGACTACAGAGAGCCTGAACCTTTGTCTTCCTAATAAGAAATTTCCATATTGGAAATTGTAACATAAGTTGTGCATTTTAACTCACAATGCTACTGTTTCCAATTAACTATGCTTCAGTAGATGCTATGTTCCAATTAACAGTCACAAACAAATTTTAAGTAGCACTGTCACCTGACTTAGAAAGTAAGGCTATACAATGCTTTAGATCTGACTCTTTAAATAACTCTTCAGAGCACATAGGGGCAGGAAGATGGCAGCTGTCTGCAGCTCTTTAAAGTAGTCCCATCTTTCCCCAGAATCCTGGTAGCTGTAGAGGAAAGCCATGTGATCCCACGAAAAAATGCAACTACTTTAAAGAGTTGCAAATAGATGCCATATTTATGCTCCAAAGTTCCTTTTCCAAAGGATATCTACACCAGTGTGCCACTCTATTAAGGGCTGGCATAGAGCACACATAACGCAAAAGCCCATCTAGTATTCATCTGATGAGAGTATTGGTATCTCATTTGAACTTATATATAACTACAAATCCAGAATACTGCTTGCACTGTTCCAGCAAATATTTAAATCAAAAAGTGTGCAAGTTCAACTAATTCTGGCAAATGTTGAGCCTCTTCTGAAACAGTGAAGGACAGAAATCTATACATAAAAATAAAACCCATGGCTAAGTAATACATTTTTTTGGAGAAAATACCTGATCTCCTGAATATCTGATGGCCAAACATAATTACTAAACCATTTTATAGGGAAAGAACGATTTTCACATGATTTTATTGTTCCTGCCAGCAATTCTTAATTTCAGTATGTAAAGTTAAGAGTTTTGTAAATAAAGATCAAAACAATCTGCATTTTAATCGACAAATCCAGCAATCACTGAAGGATTAAAATGTTTAAAGTCCAATATGGTGACCAACTTGCCTACTTAGAATAAACTGTATTTGAAAATTCTCTTTCTTGATACATGTTTTGACAATGTGGGAACTTCCAGTGTAATTAGAAATGTGAAAAAGTGAATTGATATAATGCATTTTCATTGTATTACTACAGCTTCTTGGCTTGTTTATTACAGAGTACCCTGAGATGCTGGGAAAGGTATGAATATAGTGCATTAAAAGGAGGTGTAATAGTGAATTTTAGTAAACAGGAGGAAGTTTACCAATAATCCAGACAGTTTATACCCCAGGAGACACATCTTCCACTTCCAGTTCAGAAGGCAAACATCAGCAACTCAGTGCAGTTGTATAAACAGCATCAATTCATCCCACATTAAACTACTTTCTTGGCACAATTTATTTTTCCCAAACAAACAAGAAATCACTATTAGAATATCATTAACAATATTCTATTCTAAAGTGTCAGTTTAACAGCCCTATAAAAACATTTTAGAGTTTTAAAAAAGTGTGCATGCTATAGATATTAAAACTGCAGTCTCTCCATCAGGAGTCTCAGTTCTCTTTCAGTTGTCTGTGTCCTAATCAGTTCAATGAGACACAAAACCTTTAGTTAAAGGCAATAGTTTGCTATCCTGGATAGTGTTACACGTATACTTAGTAAAATAAATAATTATTGTATTGTACGCTTCAAGACATTAGTCAAGCTCATTCAGCTAAATTTTATTATTTGTTAAAATGAAGGGCAATAAAGTGGCATAACATAATTTTTCATTTGTTCAAGATCAAGTTTAAGCCACTTGTTTCAACTGCACCTTTCAGCATGTACTGTGTATTGCTTTTGGTTTCAGTGATACCATATTAAGAAATCCTATCCTATTAACAGAAAGTAGGGAATTCAAAACTAAAAAAAACGTATTATTGGTTCTATAGCAACTGTCCATTGAAGAAACTATACTAATTTATTTTTCATCAGGCTGTATGACTATTTCAGAATATTTTAAATGTATTTTAAGCATATAAGGGGGAGGGAGAATTATCTATTAAATTGGAGTACTGCAGGTTTAATTTCACATCTTAGCTATACTGTGACAAAGAAGTAGTCACCAAATATAGCAACTAGGTCCTGTCTCAAGCCAGGGATGAACTAATGCCCCTCCCCAAACTACCCAGATCCACCCCCTCCCACAGCCCGTTCCAAAAAAACAAGACAACACTATTGGCAAATCAAGACAGTATGAAACATCAACAGAAACAAAAATGTGATGTGTGCCAATGTATCAGGTTAACTATCCTATTAAATGACACAGATCCCCATATAAACAATTCTACTTGGGAACTAGCTGTACCTTTGCTGCTTAAGAAATTAAGTCTATAATTCTGAGTGTGCTCCATGATACAATATTACAGACAAAGGAGACTGGACACTTGAATTTTTCCCTGGGAATTCTTTTCAGGGACATAAAGTGACTGTCCCACCATGAGGTGACACTCAAAGTACAATCCAATGCTTTAGCACAAATTACAATATCCAGTTCAGTAAGATGTAAGGCATATGGACCAAAAAAAGACACCAGCAGTATGCAACAGGAAGATAAATCATTTTACACATTAGTGCTTGATGTTCCAGTTCACATTTTTAAACTCATTTCGAATCCCTGATTCCTATTTACTGAAATTGGAATTCATTAGGTTTCTGACCCCATATGCTTTTGAATGAATGATAACCAATTCTTTGTGATTCTGTCCATTGTTACATGACATAATGGTTGAAACTATAGAAAGAATTGAGCATCAGGGATGCTTTGCAAGTCTCCTTCCAGTCTCATTGTATTAAGTTTGGGTCAGGGAATAGGATGCAGGGAATGAAACTGGCTCAGCCACTAACACTGTCGTAAAGATTTTTTTTTTTTAAAGAACAAGGCAGACAAGTTTATGAAGCCCTCTTTATAGAAGCAGCTTGTGTTTTTTTTAAAAAAAATCTTGCAAAATCAGTGTTAGATTTCTCCCTCTAAAAAATGTTACGTGCAGATGTGGAGCAAGTGGCCACCACACAGACCTCAACAGTACCTTACAGTACAAAATCTAAGACATAAAGAATTGATCTCACATTTGTAGCCTTCTTTACTGAAAAGATAAGAGATTTGGCTATGGTTGGAATAGTATATACAAGAACATTTCAGAAGACAAGGCATAGATGAAAGTAATAGCCTTGCTGTTCACATTGTCAATTTTTTTGTTAATAGGGAAGGGGCACTTCATGCACAAAATGTGTATTACAAAATACATATCCAAGAAAAAGCAAAAACAAAAAAACCCCAAACCACCCACTTTGCACTATAATGCAACACTCAAACATCTGCTCTGCCAAAGGCTGCTGCACATGTCTTGTTTACCAAAGAACGCATGTGAAAGCGGCGAGAAGAGGGGAAGAAAGGAAATCCAAGTTTCAGTCTATGTTTCAAACTTCTCTGATATGATTATCTTCAGTCATCTGATGTCGGATAGTGTGCTCTCCTTCGAGAATGAAGTGGTCACCACAGGAGTGCCATTATTAGCCAAATAGCCTTGCCTTAAGGTTTCAAAGTATGAAGCCTGTACAGGTTTGTGATACTGCAGAACTTTTATGGCATCATCTATCTTAAACCATTCCCTTTTCCTTCCTGCAGATAAAGAAAGAGGGGAAAAGGTTAGATTACAACAACTGAAGTATTTACAATCCTCTCCATGCCCAATTGTTTCACAACAGCAAACTGTATGTCAATTGCTAATAAATAATGAACTCATTAAGTAGGTTTTTCTTTTCAAAATGCAAAAAAACCCTATTCACTTTCTCCATAGTGAGGGGGAAGGAGTATCCAGAATGGGTTGACCTTATCCTCTCGTGATTGGATTGAGTCAGATAAGCCCTTTGGGCAACGCCCCCTGGCACCAGGTATTCCCCAGTTTTTCTGACTCATACCGATCATGAGAGGTTGCCCATTCTGGATTTCCAGCAATTTACTAGGATTTAAAGAGAATTCATTTGGACCCGTCGAGTCTTTCCTCCCTGCACCGCGCACAGCCTCCTCCTGCAGGATCGGGACTGCCACTAGCTCCCCTGGGGTGGCACGCTGCCCTGGCCACTGAGTGAATCTGAAAACACACAGTGAGGACCTTGGCCGGGCAGCAGGAGGATAGGGCACAGGCCTCCTGGAGGCAAGACCTAGCCGTGGAGGATTGTAAATCGCTGGAGTGCTCCGTCGCTCCCCTCAGGGGTTGAGCGACGAACCTAGGCTTCCCAAACGCCCCAGAGCGCCTGCGCTGCCTCCACGTGGCCAGAGGATTGTGAGGAAGCAGAAGAAGCCTTTCCTGGCCACAGCGGCATCGGAGAAGAGGCAGGAGGAAGAGAATCTGGCTGAGAGGGCGCGCGGCACTCCCTGGAGCACAAGCCGCTCTTCAGGTACTTTTAAATTTCACACCCCTTTGCAAGCCGGGTGGCGCCATTTTGAAGCCGGGAGGACCCACGTGGTCTAAGATGGCGGCGCCCAGCAGCTACCAGGAAGAAGAATCCCAGGCAGCTGCAAGCATGGACTGCAGCCCCACCGGAGGGGCAGAAGAGCAACCATCCAATCAGTGGCTTCCCCAAAGACTGCCCGAAGGAAAGGCTAAATGTAAAAGCAAGCACCTCCTCCCCAGGGCAGATCCAGAGGAAGGGGGGGTCACAAGCCTTCTAAGCCCTCTAAGTACGAGAGGAGGAGGCATAAGGCTTTAGAGAGGCTCTGCAAGAAGGCTGCCAGCCATCAGGCCACCCCAGGCAAAGGAGGAAAAACTTCAGGCACTCCCTTACCCAGTGGAGGGTCAGTGGAGAATCCAGCCCTGCCAGCAAGGATCCCTATAGACATCTCAGGAC